ATAGATGCAGCTTTAAACCCTAGCAAATGCATTGCTTATTCAAACATACAAAACAAAGTTGTGGAAGGGTAGATAGATAGATGACGGATTATTGACCTTTAGAGTTTTTTTTCCCACTCAGTATAGTACCCTTGAGATCTATCTAAATTGTTGCATGCATCAATAGTTAATTAATTTTTTAAAGAGTTTTAAAAAAGGAATCTCTACACCCCGCATGGGGGTCTCGAAGCTACAACCCCAAGATCAAGAGTCCCACGCTCCACCGAGTGAGCCAGCCACGGGCTGCAGGTAATTAATTTTATTGCTGAATACTATCGTATAGTATGGGTGTACCTCATTTTGTGTAACCATTCACCCATTGAGGCGCATTCCGGTTGTTTCCAGCTTTTCGCCATTCGAAGGCAAACTGGCTGTGAACATTTGTGTACGAGCGTCTGTGCACGTACATTTTCATTTCTCTGACATATCTCATCTTAATGTGTATTTCTCTGGAAACTGGTGACGTTGCACATCTTGTCACATGTTAGCTTTCCATCTGTCCTCTTCATTGAAATATTTCATGCCTTTTGCACATTTTATAATTGGATTGCTCATCTTTCCCCTTTTGAGTTTTGAGTGTTATTTCTACATTCTAGAACAATCCTTTGTTTGATACACACTTCGTAAATATTTCTCCCAGTCTAAGGCATGTCTTTCCATCTTCTCAGCAGAGTCTTTCACAGAGCAAAAGTCTTTATTTTTTAAAAAATTTATTTATTTACTTAAAAAGGTGGGGGGAGGTAGAGAGAGAGAGAGAGAGAGAATCCGAAGCAGGCTCCACACTGTCTGTGTGCATGGAGCCTGATGCAAGGCTCAAACTTACAAACCATGAGTTTATGACCTGAGCTGAATCTAGAGTCCAACACTTAGCTGACTGAGCCACCCAGGCACCCCTCTTTATTTTTGTTATAGTCTCTATTAAGACCTGGGTCCTGAAGATGTTCTCTTCTTAAGCCTTTATTTTCCAGGGCGCCTGGGTGGCTCAGTCAGTTAAGCATCTGACTCCAGTGGAACTATGGCGGGAGTTAAGAGCTTGTGCTCTTGTGTTAGAGTCCTGGGTTCAATCCTTGGTTCAGCTACTTACTATCTATGGGTGTTGGAGAAAGAGAATTAGCCACAAAATCTCCAGCCAACCACAAGACTTCTCTATAAAAAGTAAAAGGGAAGGAAAACAATTTTATTGTTGAGAAAGCAGGAAACCATAATGTGCTGTGCACCACAGACAATCCACTAAAGAGACTGCAGGAACAGAAAACCAAAGCTACTCGCAAACTAAGCAGGGTCGGGTCTGGTTGGTACTTGGATGGGAAAAAACAAAAGCTCACTTTTTATAGAGCCAAGCAGGTGCAACCCATCACATACATCTTATCTCAAGGTAAGTGATAGCTTGCCCTCCAGTGAGAAGTCTGGCCAGCACCATTTGTCACACATAGTGCGTCCTAAAGTCACCTGGTGATTTGGATGATGCTGTGTAAATTAGTTGGCTTCATCTGAAGAGAAAATAAATAAATTTCTCAATTCTGATGACAGGGTGTAGTTTTGCAATTTGGGATAAGGTCCTCCCAGAAGCTGGGCTCCTAAGTCCCGTAGCACCTCGGTGACAAGGGCACTGTCTTCTTTCAGGCTTATGTTTCAAAAGGTGGCTCACAGGTCCTTGACAAAAACATTCTTGGGTTGCAAAACTGGTAAGCTTTTTATTTAGCTTTTTAAAAATTTTACATACATCTCAAAGGGGCTGAGGAAAAATTTGTAAGTTTTTTTTTTTAAGAAAACACTCTTAAGAGAAGGGAAGGTGGGGTCTCGCTTTTGCACCAGCGAAAATTATTATTTTTTCTTTTGCCCTTAGAAGTCTCAGTGGGCAACGTATGCAGTCTTTTTTGTGTGCGACATTTTTAAAGTTTATTTATGTATTTTGAGAGAGAGAGAGAGATCAGGGGAGGAGCAGACAGAGAGGGAGAGAGAGAGTTCCAAGAAGGCTCCTTTGCTATCAGCAAGGAGCCAGATGCGGGGCTCAATCCCACAAACTGGGAGATCATGACTTGAGCGGAAATCAAGAGTCAGACACTTAACTGACTGAGCCGTCCAGGTGCCCCACAACTTATGCAATCTATGTGTGCCTGCGTGTCCTCATTCAAAATTGGGGACGAAAATAGTGCTTATCTCAAAAGGCTTTTTATCACATGTACATCACATGTTACATAAGTATTTTTAGCAGGTTCCTGGTACACCTATAGGTAATGTGAAAGAAGAGAATATTCAATGACACTTGTTCAAGGCGCTAAGGCAGACTATTCAGGACCACGGTGGGAGGTACAGGGAAACACTGCTGTGGGATCTTAACAATGATGGGGAAACACCGGGCTTAATTCGGAATACTGCTTCGCCCCTGGGCGCCGGCTTGCGGGGGGCACCTCTTAACAGCCACCAGGGTGGCCGTTGCAGTGGCTGTTGGCGAAATCCCACTTCTTCGTTGCAGGGTTGCCGGGTGGTGAGGTGGGGGCCCGAGGCAATCCCCTGCAATTGGACCCTAGGGGTCCGTAGCTGAAAGCGCTGATCTCATCTGTTAGTTAGTTGAGAACACGAGCCGACAGGGATGCGCCTCCTTGGCTCAGCGGGTAGGTGTTAGATCCAGAAGGGGCTCTACGCACCTGTCTGAAGGGAGAAGGTGTCTGGGAAAATCGTTTCCTTCGACATTTCCAAAAACCAATCTGGGAGGACACCGTCCCTCCCTCCTCTGCCAGGGTT